TATAAATAGGTGAGAGATCAAGGGTAAATAGGGAGTGATCGGATGGACGACCGATATTGAATCCTTTGATCGTGGACCGTTCGTCAAGCATTTGAAGACCTTAATTATGTCAAAATTCGGCGATCTTGGTTTCGTTGGATTCTTCATGTCAAGCCGCTCAATTTGACTAAAAGCACGTCATTTTTTGAAACCGTTTGGTAACTCAAATTGTTGTTTGAACTTCCCCACAGCACTTTAGGTCCTTGATTTGGACTCATTTCGGCTCGGATTGAGTCGAATTTGGTGTCGTTGGGTTCGTATTTCCGAGACGCTCAATATGACTGTAAGTTTGCTGAAATTGGAGTTCAAGTGATCCTGAATTTAATTTTTGAAGTTTCCGGCTTGATTTTGCCTCGAGATTTATGCCCGATCAAGATAATTTATTGATTATACATCGACCAGTTTGGATAAAAATTACACAATTCATACCATTTCGCATAAACCTCTTCTTCTATACATGAAACCTTCTCGATCAGCCATTTACTCAATTGGAGATTTTCTTAAAATTTTTAATTAATTGGGTTGAGTTTCCATCATCAAAACTCAGTGGTTGATTATAATTCTATAATATATTAATAATAAAAAAATATATGAATGTGAATAGTCATGATTAATCTTTAATCTTTCAAGTTAAAAACAAAAATAAACATAAGCGTTAATAATCATTGCTTTACATGAATATTCTTTAACATTAAAATCGGAGACCGTTTGGTAACTCAAATTGCGGTTTGAACCTTCCAACAGCGCTTCGGGTCCTTGATTCGGACCCATTTGAACTCGGATTGGGTCGAATTTGGTGTCGTTGGATTTGTATTTCCGAGACGCTCAGTTTGACTGTAAACTCGCTGAAATCGGAGTTCATATGCTCTCGAATTTAATTTTTGAAGTTTCCGAACTGATTTTGCCTCGAGATTCGTGCCCAATCAAGATAATTTTGTGATGACGTATCAAACATATTATTAAATTTATAACACATTATATTTTTCATTTTTAATTATAAATTTATTTTTAAGTTATAATTATCTTCTTCATATTTAAATTCCTAACTGCTATATATCCTGAAATATGTTACCAAACAGTTTCTCAGGATTTAATAGGATTTAACTTTTGGCATACCAAACAGCTTTTAAGATTTAACACATTTCGGATTTACTAAATCCGGATTTACAGGATTTACTAAATCCCACTAAAATTAAATCCCACTTGTTGCCAAACAGCCCCTTAATGTTTCAAGAGCTTCATCTAAAATTTTGTACCAATGAAAGTACAACTTTTTTTAACTTTTGTACATGGATACATTGTTTTCCTAGCTAGTGTTATATAGAGGTGAACTCTTTTATTTGAATACATATACCTTTTCATTTTATTACACTCTTTCATATCATGATTTATTCTTTTCATAAAATTTTTCATATTCATTTGAATCTCAATATGTGGTTATTACATTTTATGTGCATTATATTCTAACACTGAGCATTTGATTCATCATTTTAATGTAATAGAGTATTACTAAACAAAGCAAGTATACAAACTAGATGCAATATTAGTAAAGCATTGAATTAATAATCGAATTGTCAGTATAGTATAAAATAAAAAAAATGTAATCATCAACCTCACTTTGTTTTCAAAGATCAGACTTCCCACTTCAATATTTTCTAAAGTTCTTGATCGCCTTTCCTTCATGCACAACCTAACAATCATATACATGATTATGTCAATTTACGTAGCTAATTTAGAACTCTACATACATCAAAATTTTTAATTAAATTAACAATATTAATTTAACTCTTACCTTAATTTCCGATATCACACTTGGTTTCCCAAATACTTTGTCTCCACCATGTGCTTACTTTTTAATTTAATTAAACTAACAATATTAATCTAACTCCTCTTCACCGAACACTCTCCTCCCTTTGTGTCGAACATTAAAAAACTCAAGCGATTGGCCCAAAAACTTCTCCCTTCCTCTCCTCTTCCTTTCAATCTTTCTAACCAAGCGAATTTGAATATACTCACATGAGTCGAGTCTCATTGGCCATGATGTTTCGCTCATCCACATCTGCTTGCCCATTCACATGCATCAGTACCGTTCGCTCGACCGTTTGCTCGCCTCTTTAATTACTTATGTTGTACCAATTTGGCTAAATCAATCCAACTAGCTATCCCAAATATTGTGAATGAATAATTCAAAATGCTATTCAATAAATATCTAATCAATTCACTACAAACTGTTGACCTCCATATACGTTGCACAATCGATTCAAGTGCACTGAAACTGGTTGCACTGAAAACTACATTCGAATGACATGGCATCACACCAAACAAGTTCAAAATGTCTTAACAACATCCAACTATTGTGATGTCATGCGAAGCATAATAATTAGATATTGATCAGGCTCGTTATAAACCCCCCTCCATCCATTTTAAGAGTAAGATGATAAATTTTAAATCATATAACAAATTCTTGTTACTATGCGCTCAATATTTAGTGCCTATCTAATGATTAGTCTTAATCAAAAGTGTTCTGTCTAATTAACTATAGGGATTTGTGTGTATAAGAAATCTGGAACCATGTCTTAAATAGATGTAAAATGAGGGTGAAATGTCTGGATAATATCTTATCTCAAGCTTAATCTAACTTCTAAAAATTTAATCCGAAACATTTTGGTGAAACTCTCCAAAGAAGAGAGGTTTAGACATGAATTTTCAAAACCCACGGAACCACAAAATGCTTCTGTGCAATGGAAGCATAACAATCAAAGTCCATATTTCTACACAGGCATAAGAACAAACACCTTCCTGGCATGTGCCACGATACCCGCATATTAAACAACAAAGCACACCAAAGAAGTCAAAAGATAAAAATACACAAACAAAGAATCCAAATCAGAATCCCAAGACTGTCAGAATTCCATTGATTCGCACAATCATCATAAATTTAAGAGAGTTTAAGCACCTTTACCTCTAACTATCTGAACTCTGTCACTGTCATCTAAAAACGAGAATTCTATTGCAGCAAAAAGAATTTTTTAATGGTAAATTTATTATGAAATTCAAGTCAATGGAAACTTACCTTTGTAAGAGTCCAAAGAGACAGCTGCAGCTTTTATAAAAGTTTTTTTTTCTTTGGGACATTTAGGCCAATTAAGGCAAACTCACACACACCACGCATACACAAAAACTCGAACCCAGGACCTCTTAGTTGAAGCATAAGTTCTCAACCAACAAGTCAAGGTGAGCTGTGTTTATAAAATTGATTATAAAGTTATTGTGGAGAAAATAAGGCTTCGTTTGAGATAGCTTACTTACTGCTTTGCTTTTCAAATCCCAACCAAAGTTTTTGATTGACCACTATTTTTTCACTGTTTAAAGACAATTTGTGTGCTAGGAAGTTGCTTTATATGTCAGCTTTTAGAAAAGTTAATTTCTCCGTAATAGTTTTAAAATCACCTTTATAAAAGTTGCAATCATCTCAAACAGATCCAAACTTTTTTCAAAGCTGTTGTAGAAAGCAACTTCATTGCACAAAGTTTCCTAAAAACAACGAAAAAACAGTGATCAAATAGAAACTGGGTTGCGATATCTCAAACAAAGCCTTAGTCTATTTGGAAAAACTTTCTTACTATTTTACTATTTAGCTGCAACCATAATTTTGTTTGGCATAAGAAGGCAAAAGTAAACACGTCAAGGTGATGCTAAATTTTCCTAATATATATGGATTAAAAATTATTGATTAGTGGTTAACGTTTAATTAACGTTTGCTCAACATACAAAAATAATTTATCGCTGGTTGGCTTTGGTCAAATTTATCAATTAGTGAGAAATCATGAATTAAAAAGAAATTAGGGGAAAATTACATATATGACATTCAAATTTTATTTATTTACAAAATTTATGCATATGTGATTTTGTTAAACTGTTGAACATGAGTATTTGTGAATACCACTACTAAATTATTAGCATTTGACTAACATGAAAAATACAAATTGGAATTTTATTGTGAATTTCAATATTTGGATTAGAATTTAAAATTTTAGATAGTAGAGAGATAGTTTTATAAATAGTGAAAAGTAAGTGTTATGCATGTAATTACCTAACTAATGAACATAGTAGGGTGAAGACGGACAGACGCTATGGTCGGGCGATGGAGGTTAGGGATCATAGTCTGGTAAAAGAGGTCGGAGGGGACCATAATCCGTGAGCGGAGGCCATAAGGAACATAGTTGACTAGCGATCAGAGGGATCGTAATCGGGTGACATATATCAGAGGGACTGTTGTCGAGCAACAGAGGTCAGAGGGATCACAATCTACAAGCGACAGAGGTTAAAAGAATTGTAGTCAGCAAGTGATGGAGGTCAGGGGGATTGTTGTGCGATGGTGGTCGAAGGTACCATAGTCGGTGTGTTTTTATGATTGGATGGATTATAGTTGGACAATGAAAATCAACGGATTGTAGTATGGTGACAGGGGCCGAAGTGACCTATGTCAGGCAACGAGAGTCGAAGGGACCTTAGTCGAATGGTGACGAAGATCAGAAGGTATGTTATCGACAGCAGTCAAAAGGACCTTAGTCGACAAGAGATGGAGGTCAAAGGGACCACTTTCGAGCAATAGTGATCTGAAGGACCATAATCGAGCAATTAATAGAGGTCAAAGGGATCAATGTCGAGTGATAGAGGCTCAAGGGACCCTAGTTGACAGGAAACGAATGTAAGAATGATCATAATATAAACTTTGCCCGAATTAGCCAAATAATTTGACTAGTTTAATTCTTCTTAAATTTTTATTAAATTGTGCTTCTTGACATAATATAAACTTTGCCCGAGCTTCTTCTTAAAATTTTATATATTATTCAAATTGTTATGCAGTGCAGGGTAACTCGGTCCCGATTACACTGAATCTCAGTATTTTAATGAAGCATTACATGATTGTCAATTAAATTATGCTTTTGATTCTCCCATTTTCAGCTTCCAATTTTTTTTTTCTTTTTATAAAAAGTGAGACAAAGACGCACATTTTAGAAATTAGAATTGCAGTTTTTCATAGCTTGAATCGGCAACAGCTGCAAGATCGTCCATTTCTTCGTTCTCAACTAAGCCTCCACCTTCCCTTCCTGCTTCCCTTTCTTCCCGAACAACTTCTCCATCTCCTCCAAGCTCCTCCCCTTCGTCTCCGGCAAGAAAAAATAGAAGAAAAACCAACCAATCATAGCTATCCCAGCATCGAGGAAGAAAGTCCCCGATATACTTATGGCCTTATACAGCGAAATGAAGGACATTGTCAACACCCCACTTATCACCCTGTTCGTCCCCGCCCCCAAACTCACCCCCTGCGCTCTCAGTCTCAACGGAAATATCTCTGAGCTATAGACCCAAGTGATCGGTCCCAATCCTATAGAGAACGACGCCATTAATGATAACACAGCTGCTATACTCACCCCCAGCGCCGCTTTCGACTTCTCGCCCTCCCCTCGCCGGTCGATTGCTAGCAATGTCGACGCAAGCGCAAGAAATGAAAGTATCATCCCCCCTGCGCTGATTAAAAGCAGAGGCCTTCGGCCAACTCTGTCTAGAAAGAACGTGGCGACCAGTATAAATATGGTTTTGATAAATCCCATGGCCACACTTGCTCCCAGCTTCTTCTGCCTGCCGGTGATCCCTGCCTTTTCGAATATCCTCGGGCTGTAGAGGCCCACCGTGTCCATGCCGGAGGCTTGCTGAAAGAAATGGATACCCACCGCCGCGATGACTATGCGGCGGACCACTGGAGTTGGCCGGAGAAGAAGCTCTCTCCACACGCCCTTCCCGTGGCCGTGTTCCTCATCAGCGGCTGCCGATTTTATCTCTTCAAGCCGGAGTGCGGCTTCTTCGGGGGAGTCGGAGGTCTTGGCGAGAACGGCGGCGGCTTCTTCAAGGCGGCCCTGCATCACGAGCCAGCGAGGAGACTCCGGCATCACGATGAGGACGCCAGCGAAGATTAGGATTGGAGGAATGGCACCGACAAGGAACATCACGCGCCAGCTGATGTGTTCCGGCAGACCAGATAAAGCGAAGTTGGAGATGTAGCCGGAGAGGACGCCCACGTTGATGAATATTTCGGGGAAGGTGGCGAGGAAGCCGCGGGCTGAGGCAGGGGAAATTTCGGCGGTGTAGACTGGCGCTATCATGAGAGCGTAGCCGACACCGATGCCGGCAACGAAGCGGCCGCACATTAGGAAGGCGTAGTTTGTGGCGGAGCCCATGAGAATCGATCCGGTGAAGAAAATGGTGGTGGCCATAAGCATGGTGTAGCGACGGCCGATCCAATCGGAGGTGCGGCCAGCGGCGAGGGAGCCGATCAGGGAGTAGAAGCTAATAATGCCGGCGAGGATCTCTAACTCTGTGTCACTGATCTTTAGATCGTCTTGGATGAAAAGGGAGGCTCCGGTCATCACCGCCAAATCTGCGTGATCGACAACCTCAATCTTTTATGTTATTGATTTTAAATCCAAAAAGTTACATTTTTTTAGCACAGAAATAATAAGATACGAAGGAGAAGTGACTTGCTGACCATAGCCGAGAACAACGGAGGTCATGGAAGCAAGAAGGGAGCAAATGAGAGCGTAGCTGTTCTTTGCCGGCTTCTTAGGCGCCTCTATGATCGCCGGCCGTTTGCCGGAGGATGATTCCAGCATGATTTTCTCGCTGTCCATTACATGTAAAAAAACGAATATAGATCGTTCAGTGCGTTCTCTGAGCGCTACTGCGTGCTCTTTAAAGTAATAATTTTTATTTTTATTTTGAATTTTAAAGTAATAAAAATGAACCGCAGCTTAATATATATATATATATATAAAATAAAATGTTTTAACTATGATGACACGGCAATTTATCCTTAAAAAATAGAAATAAACTGAACAAGTATTTTTCTCTTTGCCATCTTCCTGTCTCTCTGTTTTATCTATACTTATTTTTTCTTCTATCTCCTTCCCTTATCACATTATGATATACATATAAATATAAGTTATTTTTTTGTAAGGTTATAAAAATGAAAAAAATTTAGATGCGAAGTGTGCACTGTCCGCACAAACATGGATACCTAACGGTACCCAACGGTATCCAGCGGTACCGAGTGCCAGTACCTAGCGCAGAATAAGACTTGTCCGGACGGTTCTCCCCATCCGCACTTCGCACCTAATAATCTCTCTATAAAAATCGGATAGTTTGTTGAACAAAAAGAAGATAAGGTTTAGAGTTCAAAAATTTTATAATGCTTAAATCGGGATTGAAGTGGAGGATATATTAAATAGTAAATTTATCTAAACAACATTCTAAATAATATAATAGTGATGTAATAATTATATAATAATATAAATTTATGATTAAAAAAGTAAAGTCTACATATAAATAATATGTTCTATAAAATATAAATATATTTAGTCATTAAATTTAATTCATTTTTAATACAAAATTAGCTCACATATAAGTTTGTTATGATAACTAGATGAGAGAGAAGTTAGCATAGAGATAAGCAATAACATATGAGGTAAGCTTTCAGTGTATTCAATCGCATCAAATAGTGTGCTTACAACATATTTATATAAGTTCTAGCAACAAATTTAGTACGGGGTTTGTTAGAAGGAATAAAGAGACCATTTGAGTAAGATAACTTCCTAACTTTTTATGTGCTTTTGTTGTGCTGCTTGCTGTAATATGTTGATGGCTAAAAATTTCATGACACCCACCGCTGCTTGTTCGGGTGGTGAAGAGCCGGCTGGGCAAAGCCTAGGTCCCTGGTTCGAATCCTTTGGCAAGCAGTGAAAGCCTTAAGTGTTGGCTCGTGTAAATTGGTGTGGGTTGCATGCTAGGTCGACTGGGTTTTCGCTGGCATAAGGACAGTGCTTCCTTGTTACAAAAAAAAAAAAACAAAAACAGTAAAGAGATATATTTTGCGTCATAGCTATGCACAAATGTTCAACAAATAAATAGATAAATAAGAGAGCTTGAATAAAACCAAAATTTTCATACAATCCTTTTGGGACCGTTGCAGTATTTTATAAAGTTGTTGTAGATAAAATAACTTTGTTATTTTAATTTTAAAAAAATCAACTTTTCACCGTAAAGTTTGTTGTAAACCGGTAGCCAAATGTAATTATGGCTATTGCGGTGAAAAACAAAATAGTTAAAAAGCTATCCCAAACAGACAATTAGGCTTTGTTTGAGACTGCTTTATTACCTCTTCTTAAATCAATTTTTTTAGTACAAAAATTAAAATTTTTGTATTAAAAATTTACTTTATGCAGCGGTAAGATAGCCGTCCCAAAAATTTTGTACTAAAAAATTATTTTAATAAGTAGCAAGAAAACAGTCCCTTCACATTTCTCTTTTGTTTTTTTATTGAACAAAAAAGATTTCCTATATGAAAAGAAAATAAGAAAATGAATAAAATTATGACTAAAATATTTTTAACTTTTGTTTTTTTTTTTTGTTGTTGTAATGTTAAATATAGTTTTTAGTCCAATTTGGCGCTGCAACGTAAGTTTGGGTAAACATGTGGACCATTCTAATCAGATCGTAATTAATAATTAATTACACTAATAATTGTAACGTTGAAAAGTAAACCGTCCATTCTGTCGCCATCGCATAGGACGATTGGCAAATCTATTCAATTATATTTGAGCCTCTAATCTTTTCCTCGAATTTGTATGGCATAAAAGGTGTATTCTCAAGCATTCAGTTTTTGTTTGGCTTATTTTAAAGGGGGATTAAAAACCGCTGATGTGCTTCGCATTAGACAGATTCTTGTTCCGATTAAGTGCAGTCTTTGTCACTCCGATGCTGAATATGTCTCTCATTTGTTCTTTGAATGTTCTTATTCTTTCTCAGTATTGCAAGCCATAATCCCTGGGACTCAGTGCTTTCTTATAAGACCCACGATTATGCAGTTATCTGATTGGTTGAATGGAGAATTCTTTAGAAAGCCGGAGGAGTTGAATTTCTCTATAAGTTGGTGATGGGCTGTATCATATATAATTAATATCTGGAGAGAGAGAAACAATAGGAGGTTTGGTGGTAAATTCCAATGCTTTTACTACTGTGCTTTTAAGCATTAAAAGAACTTTGTTTGAGAAGGTGTTGAAATGGAAAAACTCTTTACTATTGCTGGAAAAATTGTAAGGCTGCTTCTTTGCAATTCGGGTCCCGTTGTCCCTTCGATTATTGCCTGCTATTTTTGCTGTGTCTGGACAATGATGAAGCTCCCACAGCAGGCCCCATGGACGGTCTTCGGGCAACCAGGGTTCCGAGTATATTTTGATGCCATTTATGATTTCTATTTTCTGAGTCCATACATTATGCATGGGAGCAGTTTTCTCTGAAACATGGATGCACGTCTGTGGCAAATTCCGATCGTTTACTCTACTATTGGCTTTCCTGGAATCAGCGGCTGCGTCACTGGGATGTCTGGGAAGTCTTTTTTGCCTCTTGCATCTGTTTTTGTTTATCAAACCTGCAGCTGGAATCACAATTTCCGTGCCTTCTACCACGTTTTGGTTATTACACTGAATTTTTGTTGTATTAGGTGTCAGCTCAGCATAATCTTACTTTATCCTGTACCAACAATAATTACTGTCTTTACCTGTTTTCTCTTATTTAAAGGACCCTGTACACACTTTTACTTAATAATACAATTTTCCTTTTTCCTCTTCTTCACCTGCCTGTGTTTTCTCCTCTCGGCAATCTTGAATTGCTCTCATGGTATCAGAGCCACTTAATGGGGGATCAAGATTCAGCCTCCTCTCTACCTCCCTCATCCACCGCCATCACCGGAAATCCCAACTCTTTCTTTTGGGGGTTCGAGTTCAACAAATCAACATGTTTTAAAAATCAAGTCAGGTTCGGGTTGACCCAGCAATCCGAAAATGACCCAAAATTGACACGAAAACTTCTATTTAACTTGAAAACTCGAGATTGACCAGTTTTTGACCCGATTTTGACCCTAAAATTGCATATTCACCCGATTTTGACCCGAAAACTAGCAATTTTAGGTCAACTTCGGGTCATTCATGTCGGGTCGGGTTGACCAGGACCCGAATCGAGTCAGTTTCGGGTCCGAAAACCTGACTCGTTTTAAAAACAAGTCGGGTTCGGGTTGCCCCGAACAGTGCCGGGTCAGTTCCGGGTTTGACCCGAACCCGACCCGTTGGCCTGAATTGACACCCCTAATTCAAGCCAAGCCGGAGCCTTATTTTTCACTCGGAGCTGAGCTTGGACTTAGCAAATGAGCTCGACTTCATGCTCAATATTAATTATACTTACTCGGCTCGATTAAGCAAAAATCAATTCATTTACACTTTATTTTGTAGGTTAATGATAATAAAATAATTTTAATTGTTAATATTTGAAATGGTAAAATATTTCTTTACATGAAAAACATCGTAAAGACAAGAAATAATTATTGCTTATAATTTTTTATATATTTACCTATAATTACATTTTTAAATAAATAAATTATCACTTATAAGAGATTTAATAACTCGTCGAGCCGTTCGATTCGAGTATAAGATCGTCAAAATCGGAGACCGTTTGGTAACTCAAATTGCGGTTTGAACCTTCCAACAGCGCTTTGAACTCTTGATTCGGACTTATTTGGGCTCGGATTGGGTCGATCTTGGTGTTGTTGGGTTCGTATTTCCGAGACACTCAGTTTGACTGTAAGATCGTTGAAATCGGAGTTCGGATGCTCTCGGATTTAATTTTTGAAGTCTCCAACTAGTTTTTGCCTCGAGATTCGTGCCTGATCAAGCTAATTTTGTGATGATGTATCAATATATATATAACAAAAAAACTAGTTGTTGAATGAGAATAAAGAAATAAACTTGGCTGTGGTTCCTTCGAGGGGAAGTGGATATCGGTCCATGGAGAAATTATTACATCCGGTGAATGTATACCGAACAATATCGAGTCCAAAATATCGAGTTTTAGGTGACGTGGCACGTGATTATTGGTCTCTGAACGTATTCAGACACCATATGTAATAATTGCTCCGGTCCAAGAGATGGTGTGTGGCCTCCCCGACCGGTCCCGGTTGGAGGGGCAGGCAGTGAGGAGAGCCACAGAAGAGGCCACATGCTTTTGTTGTTTAGTGAGTGCGGTTATTGTTTTGGGCCACCATAATTGTATTAGTAACTAACGGTTCAGATTTGGCCTCACTTTTGTTTCCAAAGCTTCTGAAGTGGCTCATGTGGCTAACTGTGTGTCACTTGTGACACGTAAGGCCAATAAGCAAATTTATCAGTAATTTAACTTAGGCTCCATTTGGAACAACTTTCTATCATCTTTTTTATTTACTTTCAAAAAATTTTTGAACTAAAAAACAACTTTATAAAATATTAAAAAAGCTGTCCCAATGAAGCCTTAGGCTTCGTTTGGGACGTCTTTTTTCATGCTTCTTAAAGCGGCTTTCTAGTATAAAAATTAGACTTTTTGTACTACAAAACCGTTTTAAGAAGCAGGAAGAAAACCGTCCCAAACGAAGCCTTAATATAATCTTATGCAGTGGGATTTAGATATCATATCTGAAAAATATCAAGTGATTTATTCTTCTGAGTTTTCAAAAAAAATTCATTCCATTGGCACAAATCTCAATGTATTATTTATTAAAAAGTACTATAATTAATTACATAGTCATTTAATTATGAATTCAATAAATTTATAGCTTAATTAATCATCTCAATAAGAAGAATCCAACTACATCAAAGACGATCTGGATTCTAGTCCAAATAAGTCTAGATTAAACAACATATTAATTGAATGACTAATGGTCTCCAAATTTATTAATCTAATGAGCCAAAGATCATTCAATTTCAAATTCATTAATGCACTTAAATGACGAATAAACGATCTACGATCAAAGAATTACTTACGTACACATGAGTTGTTATTTGTAATCAAACATAAGAACGTTGTTTGTCCAAGAAATTTTCTATTTTAGTTGGATGTTCTAGCTGCGACCACCACGCAGTAGCTCCTCCTTTGAGTCGGCACGCCACATACTTAACCTGCTTCTCCGGATGGACTTCCATATAATCAAAGAAATTTTCTACAGCGCTTTCCCAATCAAGATAATCCTCGACATGTAGCCTGCCATCGAAAAAGGGTATATCTAATTTTATACGGAATCCCTCGGATTCAGTTCGCTGCATATGGTGCCGTCGTCCTCTGGTTTGTTGTGGGAAGAAAATTTCTCCTTCAGAATCGGAGTGTTCCTGCCTGGGTACCTCTTCCTCATCAGACCCCGAATATTCCGGAATCGTGACAGGGGCTCGTCTATGCATTACGCCTTGTCTCACGGGTGGTCTCTGTTCCGGTATGGCTGCCGGAACGAATGGCCTAGCTCCTGGATTAGTAGCTACCCTTATTTGACGAAGCTCGTTCCGCATCTCTTCTGCGAATCGGCCAAAGGTAGTCATCAGCTCCTCAAGCTGCTTCGACGTTTGTCGGTGAGTTTCCCAAAGGGCTTCAAGACTCCGATCACCGTCGGGTCGGGGGTGGCTGCTGCCTTCCGCCATTCGCTTGAATAGCCTAGCTCTGATACCAAAACTTATGGTGCAGCAGCTATGAGAAAACGGGAGCCAAGAACAAGAGCTGAGCTCCAATGTAACAGTAACCGGAAATTTGTTTGATATCAAGTCTACTGAGCTTCATTACATCCAGTGAACATATAGAAGAAAAAGACTAAGTTTGGGAAAGCAGAAATAAAACAGAGACTAAAGTGCTTGCACTAAAAATAACAGAAAAACAGCTTTAAGCAGGGAATAAGAAGGAGTGGCGCAGGAAGTGGGTATAAGCTGGTCCGCCGGATCACCAAAAGGGATAGCACCTGCATCACTGTTCCTATCCCATCGAGCCATGGGACGGCTGGAATAGCAACCTGGCACGTTATCATGGGTTTAATGTCGCTGCCTGGCGGCCTGTGATGGCCTTTACCACGATCAACTCCACTATCCGTGAAGCAACTCTGTTTTGGCAACCAGCTTCCTCCGCAGCGACTTCTTCTGACCGTATCTTATCTTTATGATGTTTTTCTGGGTTCAGGCCAATTCTGAGTCCTATGAATTGCTTTTAGCCTACGCCTTTTTCCTCTGAAAGTTTCTGTGTAATTTTGTTTTATTTGATATGTTTTCTTCCTTCAGGTTACTTGTATTTGAATTTTGATTTTTAATACATGGGCTTAGCGCCCCGGGTTTTCCCAAAAAAAAAAAATAGTATGCACAACAGAAAGTGCTCCGCTTCATTGGCTGCATGGACGTGTATGAAATAATCATTTATCTTCTTAACGTCGATCATTTTAGGTCCTAAAAGCCGAACGTCAAATTTCTATTTCTTCCTACATCCACTTGTTAACAAGAATAGTATGGAATAAACGGTTAACTGCTTAGGATAAACTCAAGAAAGAGAATTCTTAAATGGAAGTCAATGTTATTTGGACGATTAGTTTTTGCTTTTGTAAGATTTCATTGTAACTTCAATTTTAGTAAATGCTTACATTTTGATATTAGAGTTAAGACTTTGTTTGAGACTGGACAATTTTCTTATTATTTTTTTTAAACGGTTTTTTCGAACAAAAATTTCTTGAACAAAAAATATGTGCATTAGAAAGTTGATTTGAAAAACAGTAAAAAAAATGTTTCAAACGAAGTCTTAATCAATACTTGCATGTTGAAGAACCCAAAAGTAATAGATTAAAAAAATATTTAAAGTTAATTTTTATGTACTAAATCCAAACCAGCACACGAAAGACCAATTTATAAATTAGCTTAAGGAGCATGATCACGAAAAAAAATTAAAAAAGTTGCAATTACGGAGAATAGAAAGCTATATTCAAATGGTCATAAAATTGGGATTAATTATCACAAAATCATAGCTTAATTGTATGATATCAATTGAAACCGAAACTTAATTATCCGGTTTCAATTGAAATCAAAACTTTGTAAACTGGTTTCAGTAGAATCATGAACCTCATTCTCGGGTTGTCGTAGAACCAGATTTTAATTCTCAGAATTGTATTACGCAATTTTTTTTCTTTCTTTACTTAAAAACCATTATTTAACATTATTTGAATTAGATAAAAATATGTTATATATATAGAATTTAAACAATTTTTTTCCTGAAAAATTTTCATGCTTATGATGATATTATACACTTATGACTGCTTGTGCAAGTATTTTCTCGCAGGTATCTAACATGTTATATTCGAGTCACGTGGAAGGAGGATTCTCTCATCTTTCAGGACAGCTTGTTCTAAAGGATTCGCTCAAGAGCTTATCATTGGAGCACGATGGACCTCCTCCGACCACTTTCTCCAAGCAATCGTCATCCCCAATGTGGTCGGCCTAAAAAATTTCTCGCTCAGTTGGACAAATCCTTATTCATCTCTGTCAAAGTCAACTCATTTATGTCAGACCTATCGAAAATGAAGCTAAAGATACACATCTCATCCAAAAGGCTTCTCTCATGATCAGATCGTTAGTGAGCTCAAAGATCAACGTCAAATAATCTCTCGCCCCATCTCACTCTAGCGGGTGGCTTCAAATTGGCTTCCTACCTCACATCGACTCAATCTGAAGACGCCCACAAGTGCATCTTGCCCACATCATCTCCCACAAGATTGCCACAGTACCACTCAGCACAGTTGGCCGAGCTACATAAAAAACTGACAGTACAACTAATGTACCCATACAAAATCTACCGTAACTCTTAAAACAAAATAAATTAGAGGGGCAATACATAATGAAAAAGAAAAAAGAAGAAAAATACATCAATCCCACAATAACAAGAAATCACGACACCATGGAAAAAATAGAGAGAGATTGAGAAATGTTGTTTTTCCTAGTTTAGCTTAAGCTCAACAAGATAGAGCTGTGGCCCCCCTCTCATTCTTGTACTTCTGGTTAGAATGATAAAGATTTAGTTCAAATTCATCCTCTTTCTTGATGACTTACTTCATCATTCTTACACATAAGTCCTTAGCTCAAAAATATATTAATAAAGTATGGTCTAACATCATCCATCGGACAAATCAAGATTCAACATATATCACTGAATTTGTATCAACCAAAATGAGAAATAAATAACAAGTAATTACTTTCCTCAAAATTTCTCTTGAACTCAAGCTAAATCTAAGTTTAAATTAATTTGTTAAGTTCTAAATAAATACTGGTGAAGAAAATCACTAAGTACTTTTATTTGGTCCGGTCACAGGACGTAGCTCTACGTTCGGCCGCCAGTAGAATCGCGCCACGCGTTCTCACTATTTACCGCGCACCCCGACAACCCGACCCGGAACGGACCCAGGATGGCTCGGTATTTCTCGATTTTGCTAGGTATTGCTCGGTATTACTCGGTATTGCTAGGTATTGATCGATTTTGCTTGGCAATAACCAATACCGAGCAAATAACGAGCAATACCGAGCAAATACCGAGTAATACCGAGTTGTACCAAATTTTTCTAGAAAAATTGATACAACTCGGTATTTGCTCGGTATTGGTCTTCACATTGCGGTATTTCTCATTATTACATGCAATACCTAGCAATAATGAGCAATGCCGAGTAATACCTCGCAATACACGAACATAACATTCCTGGGTTCCGGTCCGGGTCAAGTCGTCGGGCTGCGCGGTAGAGAGTAAGAGCACGTGACGATATATTATTGGGGGCCGAAGGTAGCTCTACGTCCATATGACCGCCAAAACCATAAGCGAAGCTGACAGAAGATAATTATTGCCGTCGGTATATAAAAATTGCATCACTTCAATCGTCCTAAACGCCTATTTATATAAGCTTCGCAAACATTTATTGATCAAACGTTCTTATGCCTATCCTCGCCGCCAGCAACACCTCCGGCGACCTCCTCCTCCTTCATCTCCTTCCCCTTACCGCCAAACACCTCTTCCATATCCTCCAAACTCCTCCCTCTCGTCTCCGGCAAAAACACATAGAAAAACACCCACCCGCACAGCGCTATTCCCGCATACAAATAAAAACTCCCTGCGATACTTATCGCCTTATACAAGGAAATAAACGTCATCGTCACCACTCCACTCATCACCCTATTTGTCGCCGTCCCCATACTCGCTCCCTGCGCCCTCAGCCTCAACGGAAATATCTCCGAACTGTAAACCCACGCTATCGGCCCCAGTCCTATAGAAAACGACCCAACAAATGACAAAACTGTCGCTATGCTCACCCCAACCGCCGCCTTCGACGCCTCGCCTTCCGCCCGCCGGTCGATTACAAGCAACGCTGAAGCCAGCGTCAGTAGTGAGATTATCATCCCACCGGCGCTGCCTAAAAGCAGAGGCCGCCGCCCTACTCTGTCCAGAAAGAAAGTGGCGATCAGTATAAAGCTGGTTTTAGTGAATCCGACGGCTACCGTTGCTCCCAGCTTCTGATTCTTGCTTTTGATTCCAGCCTTCTCGAATATTCTCGGGCTGTAGAGAACAACCGAGTCGATGCCGGAGGCTTGCTGGAAGAATTGTAGCCCGATGGCCGCAACGAGCACGCGGCGGACCACTGGAGTCGGCCGGAGAAGAAGATCTTTCCATACGCCTTCCCCGTGTGTTCTCTCCTCATTCCCCGCCGCTGACTTTATCTCTTCGAGCCGGATCTCGGCTTCTTCCGGGGAATCTGAGATCTTCGAAAGAATGGCGGCGGCCTCGGCGTGGCGACCCTGCATCACCAGCCACCGCGGCGACTCCGGCATCAAAATGAGTACGCCGGCGGCGAGGAAGACTGGTGGGACGGCGCCGACGAGAAACATAACGCGCCAGTTGATGTGGTTGGGGAGGCCGGCGAAGGCGAAGTTGGAGATGTAGCCGAGGAGGACGCCGCCGTTAATGAAGACTTCGGGGAAGGAGGTGAGGAAGCCGCGGGCGGAGGCGGGGGCGACTTCGGCGGTGTAGACGGGGGCGATCATGAGCGCGTAGCCGACGCCGATACCGGCGATGAAGCGGCCAGACATGAGGAACGCGTAGTTGGTGGCAAGGCCCATTACGATGGCGCCGACGAAGAAGATTGCCGCGGCTAAGACCATGGTGTAGCGTCGGCCGATCCAGTCCGAGGTGCGGCCGGCGGCGATGGAACCGATAAGAGAGTAGATGTTTATGATGCCGGCGATAATTTCGAGCTTGGTGTCGCTTATATGGAGGTCGTCTTTGATGAAGATGGAAGCGCCGCTCATGACGGCGACATCTAAGTGCAGTCAGTAGAAGTGAAGGAGTAAGGTCTTCAAGGAGTTTGGATTAGAAAGGAATAAAATAACATTAAAACAATGGATCAAATTAAATATACATTTTTATATAGATTTAATTTTATTGAGTAAATGAATTATTTAAAATTAAATTATATAATTAAAGCAGAATGATTTCTCTATCAAACAAAAATTACATTTTTCTAATTTTTCTCATGATTTATTTAAAAAAATAAAGAACAAAAAAAAATTACGACTCATAAAACTCTTTATAGAATTTTGTTTGAAAAAATAATGATAAATAATAAGCATGATCAGTGTAAAAGAAAACCGAACCCCGTAGAGGATGAGAAGACATACCGTAGCCGAGGAGGACGGAGGTCATGGAGGCGAGGATGGCGCAGGCGAAGGCATATCTGTTCCTCGCCGGTTTCTTCGTCGGAGGATCGCCGGAGATTTTTTCCGTCGGTGTCTTCGTGTTGTCCATTGATTTCTGTGAGAGTAGGGACGGGGAGTGTGATGGCTACAAATAAAGGACTGGAGCAGAAAGAAGAAGGAAGATTCAATGCTAATATTTTACCGACAAGTCGGCAAGATTTATAGAAACGTGGATGAGTTTTTTATTTTTTTAATAGAATTTTGTAAGGTCTTGGTTTTTTTAGTTTGGAAGGTACTGAAAGTCCACATGCATGGTTACGAAATTCTTATTTTTATTAAATTTAATAAATAATTTTATGAGATAATTTTTTTTTTTAACTTGATAATTATAATTGAAAGATACTTCATTCAAAAATGAAAAAATTTATAATTTGTTCATTTATAATGTGCTTAGGTTGGCGTGTTAGTACCATATTTTTTTGGGACATTTAGGAGAAATTATTACGTGTGGTCATCGGACTTCCGGAGATAAATCAGAACGCGCCACATCACCCGGTACATAATACCGGTACACAAAAAAAAAGTGACGTGCCGTGCTCTGATTCGTCTTCATATGTCATCTGGTTACCGAATAGCATAATTTTTCTACGTACATTTAGGTCAATAAAAAGTCAATCTCTGAATCTCATACATATATCACATATGTAAGCTTCAAATCTAAGATCTCTTAGTTGGTAGCCAAAGCTCCAAACCAACAGATCAAGATGAGCTGAGTAATATCAATCATTCTCATTCGCATTGATTCACTCAATTATAAATCATTCCTTAGGCATTTAAGTTCTTTAAGAATTTAGTAATCTTAAGTTTATCAGATTCCTCTCATCTGAACTCTCCTTTTGACTACAAACATGCAGAGATCATTTAATTCGTATAAAAGTGGCACGAAATTTTAAATCATTCTTCAAGTGTTTAATTTAAGTTCTTTTGATCGAAGATCAAAGAACTTCTGGCATGGTTGCACTCATCTCATCAAAAGATTCATTTCAAATTTAAATTTGTTGAAATTTGACTTTGGAATATTGCGAAATTCTTTTTGAAAAATTTTCAATTCAATAATTGAGTCAAAATTTGTGTTTCGTGGTAGCATTTAAGTGGCCCAAACTTAGGATTCGTTTGGGACGGCTTTTTTATTGCTTTCTAAAACAGAGTTTTAGTACAAACATTTTTATTTTTATACTAAAACTCCGTTTTATAAAGAAATGAAAAAGCCGTCCAAAACGAAACCTAAGGTTTAATCAGATTGCATTAAAATCGGGATCTTATCCAATCAAATATTTGAAGTTTAGCCATTAAATAAGTGGATTGTTGCTCCTAATAAAATTTTACATTTAATTATTTTTTGCATTGGCATTTATAAATTTGGATCATTATGTGCAATTTAGATTGATTGGAATATAAAAATGTTTTGAATGCGTGAGCTTCTTGTGCTGGTTTGGATTTAGTACATAAAATCTTACTTTAAATATTTGTTTAATCTATTACATTTGTGGTACTCACATGCAAGACCTGATTATGGCTTTGTTCGGGACAGTTGTTTTACTGTTTTTTAAAGGAGCTTTTTAGTACAAATATTTTTTGTTTAAGAAACTTTTGTATTAAAAAAATGTTTTAAAAAACAATAAAAAAATCATCCAAAACGAAGTCTAACTCTAATGTGTCTCAGTAAAATAAAAAAGTAGGCATTTACCAAAATTGATGTTAGAATGAAATCTTACAAATGCTAAAAACTAATCTTATAATCTAATAAAAATGTATTTTTTAATACTTTCTAACTAATTCTTTTTAGGTCTACATGTACCGTTATTAACCTAAGTCGAATCTAACACATGTCTACTCTCCTAACTGGGCTATTGGAAGACCGACATTTTATGTGACCAAATTAACCATTTAAGGCAACACCCTATAATCTTATCTACCGTTGATGCTACTCAAACCATTTCACCTATTTACCCGTTTCGTATTCTATATGTAAATGTACAGTTATTATCCACCTGAGCAACTCTTTCATGAACTCCTTGTTTAGTATTATGATCAATAAGAAGATTATCCTTAGCAAAAAGTATACAGCAAGATACATCCTCTTGCAAATGTCTATTAAGAACATCCATGTATAGAAAAAAAAGATAAATTAAGGTAATCCAACTAAAATAGAAAATTACTTGGTCAAACAGCCTCATGTTTGATTACAAATAACAACTCATGTATAAATACATACTTAATTCTTTGATCATAGATCGCTTATTTGTCGTTTAAGTGTCTTAATGAACTTGAAATTGATTGATCTTTGGCTCATTAGATGAATAGATTTGGGGACTATTTAGTCATTCAATTAATAAATTGAAGATTTTAATTATGGTTTATGTGTTTGATTTAGACTTATTTGGATTGGGATCCAGATCACCTTTGATATAGTTGGATTCTTCTCGTTGAGATTATCAAAGTTTAAATGATTCTATAATTAATTATTGTTGCGGGCTAGAAAATACGCGGCGATAGAGATTTAATTTTGCATCTTAGCGTTGCACGTATAACTAGCACACACAGAGAACACAAGATTTTTTACGTGGAAAACACTTAAAGGGGGAAAAAACCACGGGGCCTAGCCCAGTTGAAAATGATTCCACTAGACTTTGAGTCGGTTACAAAGGACTGAATCACCTCAAAAGGTGATCAGATTACAATCAGTTACTTAAGTAAAACGTCGGGTCTTTGGCAGGACGTAAGGACTGGACGTCGGGCCTTGAGCAGGACGTCGGGACTTTGGCAGGACGTAGGGACTAAGCGTTGGGCCTTGAGCAGGACGTCGGGTCTTCGGCAGGACGTAAGGACTGAACGTCAGGCCTTGAGAAGGACGTCGGGACTTCGGCAGGACGTAAGGACTGAACGTCGGGCCTTGAACAGGACGTCGGGACTTCGGCAGGACGTAGGGACTCAGCGCAGGGCCTTGGGCAGAACGTAGTGACTAAGTGTCGGGCCTTGAGGTGGTGGTCAGGCGAGGTTCTCCGGTGGTCCGACGAGGTTCTGTGGTGGTCCGGTGAGGTTCCTGCGGTGGTTCGACGGTGATCCGACGGTGTTCCTGCGGTGGTCCGGCGGTGTTCCTGCGGCGGTCCGGCGAGGTTCTGCTGTGGTCCGGCGGCTGTCGAGGAGGAGCTCCTTCCTTCTCTTCTTCCCTCTCTTCTCTTCTTCTCTCTCTTGCTTGGATCCTCTCTTGTGAAGAATGAGGG